GTTTGGGACATAAATAGGTAAGTTTTCACCAAATTTCGTGAAAATTTTTTTATTGTAAAAGAAAAATAAAAACCAAAAACTTGGTTATTTGAATTTTTCACATAAATTTTGAGGTTATGTGAAAAAAGTGTAAATACAAAAGTTGTAGATCTTTTTATTACCTACAACTTTGTCATTTAACTTTTTTCCATAAGACTTGTAGTTTTTCTGGAAATCAAGGGAAACCGTTTTTTACCCTTAAAAACTCACCCCCTACCCCTTCCCGACCTCAGATCGCCCGTAAATTATTTTCCCTTTCATTTCTGTTATATTCTCTTTCTTTTCCAATGGGTTTCATCCTACTATAATTTTTTTTGGTTTCAAAAATTATCGACCCTGGTCTAAGATTCTTTCAAAACTGTGTGTGATCAGTGTCATCAAAGATCAACCAAATCATCTTCTTAGAAATTCACGGAATTGGTATTGAGCATCTCAAAAACATCAATTTATCGCATTTAGGCCGATTTGTTTCGCCCAAGTTGACTGACGATTAAAAGTTCAGATATTAACATTCGAAGAACGTCATCATAGAGGCCAAAAAGGACAAAAATTTCATTTACAACATTGTGACTGGTGATGAAACGTGGTGTTTTCAATATGATCCAGAAACCATGCGCCAAAGAGCCGAGTGGAAGGCGCCAGACGAGGCAAAACCCAAGAAATCTCATTTAAAGAAGTCAAAAGTGAAGACGATGTTGATTTTCTTTTACGATTCCAAGGGCATTGTCCACAAAGAGCTCATTCCACCTGGCTAAACCTTTAATGACCATGCAAATCGCTGTACTAAGTCGGAAGGGGATTGTTTTGAATAAAATAATTCGATTTTGCCAAAAAAAATATAATTCTTCCAGTTGTAGAATGAATCCATCCAGCGGAATTTGCTGGTTCCTTTAGAATATTTTGTATGTCTATGTTAATGATGAGACAATTTATTCCTGTATTTGAATAAATAAATAAACCACGTCTTAATTTCAGGTGCTCCAAGGTGCTGTGGAGATCCCAGCGGTGGCCATAAGCATATTCATTCTACTGAAAGGAGGTAGAAGGTGGCCCCTGTCTCTGACCATGATCATCTCTGGAGTAGCTTGCGCTTGCACGCTGCCTTTATACCTCTTTCACCATTTGCAGTGGGCCACCACTTCCTTAGCCATGTTGAGCAAGTTCTGTATCAGTTCCTCGAATGCCGTTATGCCTGTCTTCACGGCGGAACTTTATCCCACAACCATTAGGAATATAGGAGTCGGTGCTGCCAACGTGTCAGCAGGCATTGCGCTGATGCTGGTTCCGTATTTGTGGGATTTGGTAAGTAAATGTAGTTAATATAACTCTAATTCATACTGTTTTTAAGGGGATTAGGTTAATAGTTAAGAACTACGGAGGCTTACAGACCCCGCTCTGCGCTTAATTTAAAGGTAATGAAATTGCCTACAAATTATTTGCTACAAGTTCTACTCGTAGGATCAATGGTTTCGACGCAATTTTGGTCCAAAGAAGGTCTAAAACTAAAATTTTGGAAAAACTGGCCTATTTTCAAACTGCCGTAATACGGTAACCAATTGACCTATAGAGCTCCGGTTGAGCGTAGTTTGTCACAAATTTAATGCTCTTAAAAAACGTATAGAATAGCTTTCGACGAAAAATGCATAGATTAGGAGATATAAAGCAGAATCTGAAACAAGTCCAAAAATTTCGCGGTTTATGGTGTGTAAAAATTTGTCCACAACTTTTTGAGAGATGCAAACTTGGGTACACATAGCCCTAATGGGTCCAAACAACATACTAAAAAATCAGAGATACATCATGCTTTGCGAATTTAGCGATTTTTTTTTTTTGTCGATTTTGACCAGCCTACTTCCAGCACTGCTTGTACATGTGCCGCTGCAGCTCAGGTTAGATATGTGGTTGCAATACGATGGTGCTCCTCCACAGGAAGCTAAAAAAGTCACGGACTATTTAAAACATACTTTCGGAATTAAGTGGATTGGAATTAATGGGCCTGTAGAATGGCCTTCAAAGTCTCCAGACTTAATTTCCCTAGACTATTTTTATGGGGAACATTAAAAAATTAAAATACCCACGAGAAGAAAAACGGGTTTGTTTGAAAACTTAAATAAAGCTAGGAAGTCAAAATAATGTGACTCTGGCTTGAGTATCAGAGATGAAGGCCAAAGAAAGGGTTGATTAGTTAGCCCTATAGGGACTCGAATATTCCTATCACTTTCCTTACTGCTTTATTAGTACATTTATACAGGGAAGAGTAAAGGATAGTCTAAAAATCGTAATAATAAACTCTTGTTGTAAGAAATGAAGTTCATAAAAAGATCATACAAGGACCTACCGAACTAATGTTGATGATTAAAACGTGTAGGACTGTAAACTGGATATATCCAGACCCAGACTAGTTTGTCTGGAAGAAGACAAACTGTGTAAATTCTGTCATGAGGAAGAGGGAGCAACTCATGTGTAGCAAGTGTAGAAGCTTAGCAAGGAAGCTATCTACTGTTCGGAATAGAAAAACCAGAAGCTGGAAGCTACGTGGAAAAGGCACTTTCAACACTATGGAGCATAATTAGAAATTATAGTTAAACGGATAACTATAAGATTCTATAGATCTGCAATGGGCTTAATGGTGGTCGCAGTGCGAAAAGATAAATTCATTCTTTCTTTTCCAGAAAAATTTTGATAGATTTATACCAATCTGGGAAGGAAATTAGACTCGCAAGTTTTTCTGGGCATTATGAAAGATGACCAAAAAATAGTGCTGATGAGGTTTACATTTTCCGAAAAGCTGCTAATAACCTTATTTTTATTCCTCCAATCTATAAACTCAGAGCAAAAGGTTTCGTATGTTTTTTTATGTTTTTACGTCTAATAAATTGTTTATGGCTCTTGTGGCTTATTTCACTGTCGCACATTTTCATAGGTTTTATTTACAAATACTTAAAATTTTATGATCATTCGAAGTAAACTATGAACTGTCAAAATTGATAATAATTGACTGAATATTGTTGTTATGTTGCGTTTCTATTGGTTATAACTAGGCTTGGTGCAGCGAGGAGTTTAACAGGACCGTAGTCAGATTACGAATGAAAATATTACATTATTATATATTGTTATTATGTTTACAGAAAATATGTCGCAACATCTTACCAAAGAGTAAGGCTAAGTAGAGGATAAAATTAATACCTATATAAATTTAAATGACACCACTTACCCGCTAAACCTTAATGTTGAGACAAGGCTTCCGTGGCATATTGAAAGGAGTTAAAACATATTACTACGTACTTTTCAAAGTTTTCTTTAGTGAAATGGCGACGTTTATCACTTAATATTAACTTATGTAGGGAAAATGACCGTTCAATGTCTACTGTTGAGGCATGAATATGAAATAAATATATTAACATGTTTGGTGGTAAACTCCTGATATGTACCAGATAAAACTTTACATATGTTTTCCAAAATGGTGTATCCTGGATTTTTTCCAACACTCTTTGCACTTTTTCTTTTATCGTACTACTGACTGGGCGTATATTATTGGCATCGTATTGTCATCCACTATATCAAATTGTTCATTTAGAGATAGTCCATGTGATTCCAATTTACGAAATTACGCAACTTGGGGTTCTCTAGTTTGTTTAATGGAATATTGCTTGAAAGAAAGGCGTCTGTAAGTTCATAGAAAAATACAGTTTTCAGCGCTAGACGAGGCATGGCTCTTCAAATGTCTTGTCACTTTAGTTTTGTAACAAGAATTTATAATGCGTTCACACACAGTACAGAAAAGGTCATTTCGTTTAATACGTATGTCCCTGTAACCTTCGGGATCACTGTCAAACCACATTTGAAATAATTCCCGTCTATTTATTTTCTCTTTTGACATCTTACTTCAATTCCCTCCTCCCTACTATTTGCTTTTACTTAGAAATATAAAAATGTTGATTGTGATTAAATGCTACAGTATAACTTTCCCGTTAACGTCAATATTTCAGTATATACATAAATTTTGTTGTGAATATACGATTTTACTTTTAATATCGAGTTAATGTGGTACATCAATGAGATTTCCTCTTGCCTCTGACTAAATTACCTTTACCGTTCTATATGATTACGTTGTTCAAGTTATGAACCGTATGTAAGCTTAAAGAATTAAGTTGTTAGGTAAAAAATGTTTTGTGTTTAATTTTATTTTACATTCCTCTTATAATCTGATATTCTCAAGGTTGACGGGTTCAGCCGAGGCATGATTTAGATCGACGAACCTGCTGCATAAGTTGCCGCAGGTTCGGAAGGAATTTGGTGAATGAAATGTACAAGGTGGTTGATTTTCTCAAACGAGAGAGTTCGGTTACTGCAGCAGCTTCCGTAATTCGGTTAGTTAATCTCACTTAATTGACCAATCAGCATTCAGAGTAGCCAAGAATATCTCTCAATTGTTTAGGATGTTCTGAATCCACTTTCTGTTTTGCTTACTTCAGTTCTTCCGAATACAGTAGAGCTGGTATAAATTTTTCAACACATATGAGACTATGCATTCGTAAAACAAGCGGCAAATTTATATCATTGAGTAACACACTATTTGGAAAATCCTGCTATAATCCTAATAAATAACTGGGTTATCCCAAATTAGAAGTGAATAGTGAATAATAAAACTAGTTTTGATTGCAAACATTTAATAATTAGTTGTAGGAATGATGGGAGGTTAAACAAATTTGGTTAGATTGAGAAAAGCCTGTTCTCCTCGATATATATACACCAGAAACATGCTGCTGAAAGAAAATATAGCCCTTAATCTTTATTTCAGTCAAATTTTAATTGAGAATTTATTTTTTTTTCAGTCTTCAATCCATACGAGTGTTCCAATGTCAATGTTGGCCTTTTTCGGCATATTTGGAGGTCTCTCAGTGCTGTTTCTACCGGAAACTGGTGGTGTCCCACTCATTGAAACGATCAAGGAGGTGGAAAACGTGAAAAGGATGAACGAGGCCGAAACTAGCGAGTCCAAGAGGATAAACAACAACTGCTGTACATAAACGGGACTATATCAATATTATTTAAACTTAAATGTGGCTTCTAGTTCCTTACTTTGTTTAAAAAGTGATTAAAATACTCGATTACATAGACTATGATAGCGATCCTATCTTGGGACCCTCAGGAGTCAAAGAAAAAGACATCGAAGCTAAAAAAAATTTAGGGCATATCTATTTAGCAATAACCTAATAGAAGCGAAAATCACGGTTGGGGTCGAAGAAACAGACAAAATTGTTTCCAGTTTTTGAAGATCTATAAGTTTGTATTTCTTTAATAATCATGCTAAATTGTCTCCAAAATTCGCATTTGAAAACTGTATATTTTTTTACTTTTGTTTCCCTCTGAATAATACAAAGTAACTGCATCAAAATCATATATATATATATATATATAT